CTTGCTTTTCCTCTGGTGTCTATTGAATGGGAATTCCATGTCTCTTCTTTTGGGCTGTTTTTGGGCTGACACCTGGTCTACCCTCCTGCGTGCATCTTCGCTGGGGCCACAGTGCAGCCGTGCCCCCGCCAGACACACTCCTGCAGCGCCCTGCTGGGACGTGGGGCTGGGTCTCCCCTCCGTGAACGGGGCGCGTTTCCTGGGTGGGTGTGAGCAGGGAAATGCGTTCTTCTGCGGCGGTGGGGACAGCTGCCAAAGGAAACAAAGCCGCCGGCTTGGGACCACAAGCGCACTAGGACTGCCCGGCACAGCTCAGCAGCCGCCCTGGACCCGGGGCCCAGGAGGCCCTGTAGTGCCGTCCGGCTGGCTCCTCCCTCCTCGCTCTCCTTCAGGAACCCCCTGTCCATCGACCCCCTGCTCGGTAGCTCCTGTCTCTCACTCGGAGCTCACTGGGCGCTTTCCTGGCTGGCTCCCCAGGCTCTGGGCACAGGGCAAGGGCCCCTCCCGGGACAGTCCCCAGTGATGCGTGTCCTCCCGTCAGCCCGCCTGCTGGGGCCTCCCGCCAGGACCCCCGCCCTCTGAGCCCCCCACTCCCTCCGTGCCAGCAGCGGGTCCCCAAGGCGAGACTCGCGCCCCTACCCCCGCTGCCCCGCTGCCCGTGGGGTGAAGCAGGGGTCTGCGCTGGCTGGACTGCCATCCGGGCCTCTTCGCCCGGGGTTGCCCTCCTGCCCCCACAGTGGGCTGCAGCGGCCCCTGTGACCCGCTTTGTTCCCACCTTCCCGGGTCTCTCCCAGGGCTCGCTCTCTGTGGACACGTATATTAAATTATACCAGCTTCCCCAGCAAACGCTCTATTTGATCCGGATTTTTAAGACACATGTGGCTGTGTTCCGTGTGTTGTTCTGTCGAGGGGCGTCGTGTCCTCCGGGCGCGGCAGCCACTCTGCTTTGTTAGCTCCGCCCGGGCTCATCCCGTCTCTGGCTTCGCTGCGCCGCCGGCCTGCAGCCTGGCTGTGCCCGTTCGGTCAGCAGGCCACGCACCTGACCCCGGGTCAGGTAAGGGGCGGGGGTCCATGCGTCTCCCAGGCACGGCTCACACCCCCGGCCGGGGAGGAAGTCGGCGAGTTCCTATTTCCCTGGAAAACCCGCCCCTTTCAGAGGGGTTCCTACCTGTATGACCTCCACATGGTCACCTTGTTTTCTTAGTTTTGAAATCGCGCCCGTCTCTGACGCTGTGTCCCCCTGAGTGTCCCGTGTGCCCCGCTGCACCGATGCGACCTCCCTCCCGAGTAGGTCCAGGCAGGCGACCAAGGAGACCCACACATGGGGGCTGCGGAGGGCGGGCTTCAGGACACCTGGGCCTGGCTGAACCTCTGGGTGGTGGGGGCAGTGACCTGGCAGGGAAGGGACAGGCGGTGGCAGGAAGAGGCGGGGGGTCGCCCGCCCTGAGAGCCACCCTCTGGGCCAGCAGGGCGAGGGCCTGGAAGGGGGCTCCTTCATCCTGCGGGAGGCGGGGGCGCTGGCTCACCCCTGCGGAGCGGGCACCGGCCATGTCAGCCACTCGTGGGACCTAAAAAGGGCGACTTTACTGAGCTGAGCGAACAAGCCTGTGGCCACGGGCCTGAGGCTGGAAGAAAGGCGAGTCCCTCCCAACGTGCGCAGGGCCCAAGTCAGGAGAACAGATGGGACTCATGCACCTGAGGTGCCACCCTTTAAAGGCTGCAGGTCCCCTAAGTATCGGACACTTGGACAATTGCCCCTCCGCTAAGTCCTGGAGGGTGGGGGCCAGCGTGGAACCTTGGACCCCATCGCCCCCACCCCCGGAGCCCTGAACGGCACCCGGTACCTGGAGGGAGCTGGCCCTGGGCCTGGGCCCCGCAGAGGGGCTGAGCTGGCCCCTCCGCCCCCTTCACATTGATGGCCCCGCTCCACCCGCCCACCCGCGAAGGCCACCGTTCCAGAGACAGAGGCGGAAAGGGGCCGGGGCGGGCCCTCGCTGGGGGCAGGAAATTCCCGAGCTGCAAACACAGAGTGTGGCCTGGGAGGGGGTGGGTGCGCCCTCGGCCTGCTCCCCGCATGGGGGGGACGGGCTCAGGCCAAGGCAGGGCGGGGGCGGGGCGGACCCCTCGTGCTAGAGGGAAGGGGGAAGCGTAGCCTGGCGCGCACGACACACCACAGAGACACCAGTAGCCCTTGGTTTTGTTTATTTTTCAATAAACAAAATTTTTTGCATGTCTGGGCAAAAGTAAGTGGAAAAGCTGAAAAGAGCGCCATTGACATTTTTGAAATTTTTAGGTTACAAGAAGATAATCGCGCCTACTCCTCTCTCTGTTTGGGGGCCGAATTGGTGATCATGTCGCTGACAGCTGTCTTCGAGCTTCTCCCTTTGTTACGTAAACTACACACCACCCCGAACACGCGCGCGCGTGTGCCCGGGCAGCTGAGGGTCCTAACACTCTCAGCAGAACCTGGTTGCCCCCACGGAGGGGGACGCCCCATTTCTGCGTGCCGTGAAGACCATGACGAGGCGCTGACCTGTTCTGATCTCGCGGGATGCGTGCGGTGGGGGCACGGTGGAATTTGGGCGGGGCGGCCACATCGGGTGCTGGTAATAGATAATTTGTCACGTGGGACGTGAGATGGTCAGGCCCTCGGGGAGGACTCTCTGCTGCTCCCACGACATTTACCTGCAGTGCGCCTGGCTCCCTGGGGCACCTACGTGCCCAATCCCACCCAGGCTGCCCCTCGCCCTGCTGAGCCGCAGCTCCCGCACACGGCCTTGCACTGGGCAGGTGCCTGAAAATGCTCCCTGATCGAAAGGGTGGTGGATGAGTGGATGAGCCGATGAGGAGGTGGCCGAGGAGAAAGGGGGGCTGTCTTTCCCTCGTCACCAGGGGATGAGGCTGTTCTGCACAGCACGAGAGCGGAACGGTGGAGCAGAGAATTTGATCGTTTCATCCGGTCTCAGAATTCCAAGTTTCGGGAAACTAGGGATCAGAACCGTGAGCCGACTCGATCAAGGTCTCACGTGAGAGAGGCCTAGCGGGTGCTGCACACCCGCCCGGCGCATGCCAGCCGTTCTTTTGTTTTTTGTCTTTTTTAAGTTTTTCTTAAAACAAACTAAAAATGAGATGCGATGTTGACTGGAATGACGCCGGGGGAGGAGGAAGGACTCGGCGGGAAGGTTATCAGAGACTGGGGGTGGGGGGAGCCGGGGGCAAGGGTGAGGCGGGGGGGTGCCGGGGGTGGCGGCAGGGGCCTGGGGTGGGACGGAGCTCGGCCGTGGTGACGGCGGTCATGAGGGTGACGGCTTTTGGGACTGAGGGAAAACGCGGGGGTGGGGCAGGAGGGGAAGGGCCCATTTAAAATGAGGAGGGATTTGGGGCGAGGATGGGGGAGCTTGGCAGGGAGGGTGATGGGACTTCGGGGTGACGTCGCCTGTCAGGGACAAGGTGACTGGGGTGGGATCCTGGGGCTGGGATGATCAAGAACTGGGAATGATGGGGACAGTGGCTTGCGCGGGACATCGGGGGGCTGGGGGCGAGGACAGTGAGACCTTGCATCGGCATTACAAGGGACTTGGGCGGGGGTCCAGCAGCTGAGGTGATGAGGTCCGCGGTGGCATGATGACGGTGACGCACACGGTGTGTGGGGGGTGATCTGAATGACCAGGAGGATGAAGGTGATGAAGACTTAGAAATAGACACTTGGCTCAAGGTAAACACGGCAGGTCATACTCCATAAATCTAAGAGTCTTGAGTCCTACCTGTCCAAATAATTTACGAAGCAAAATAGTTCTATCTGGTACCCAAGGGCTGTTTAGCTGCCCGGCCCTGTGAGGCGGGAAGCTAGACAGAGCTCTGTCCCATTGCCTTCTATTTTTGCCAAAAAAATAGATGCTTTTCTTAAAAAAGTCAAGTTCATGATTCAGAAACTGGCTAGGTCTTTCAGGATCTGAGGCTAATGGACTCAGCAACACACACGCGGTCCCTGGCCACGTAGGCCGTGCCTGGTGGCACTCCGCGCACGGGAACTAGAAAACGTGCCCCAAGCCACGATTTCGCTAAACCCCAGGAGCCCCTTGGTGAGGGCTGTGTTGCTGCTCAGATTTCGCCAGGGGCACTTGTGGTTCAAGGTGCACTTAAATTTCAAGGGATCTCCCTAGTCTACAGGGCGGGAGGGAGGTAGAGCTTCGGAGCTTTGGGTGGGTGGGTGGGTGGGTGGGTCGCATAAGTGGCAACTCCAAACTGCACATTGTGACTCCAAGAAGACAAGGGTTCCCAAAAGCAAAGGGGCCAGGAGGCTCCCCGCTTTGAGAACGTCTGTTAGGGGCAATTTGAAGGTGTCAGGGACGTATCAGGATAGGCCAAAACACTCGGACCCGGGATGAGACGTCGTCTTCATCCGATCCTAACGGGCAGGGTCCGGGACTGTTTTAGGTCGTCCCTCATCGCTCCCGATTCAAGAGTTTTAGACAGGAGAGGACTTCTGATGGTCACTGTGTTCAAGCCCCTCTCTTGGAGAGGGGCGAAAAGGTGGGCCCGGGGTGGGGAAGGGGACTCGCTGAGGATGACATGGCGAGTTAGTGGCGGGGCTGGGACGAGGTCCCGGCCCTCCCGCAGCCAACCCGGGGCTCTCTCTGCCTGACACGTGGCCGCCGCACTCTGCAAAATCTCAACTCTGGTCACAAAGAGCTAAGGACTGAGATGTTGAACTTGAAGTGAGTGCGAGTCGGAGGTGGCGTGTGAGAACTAACGAACAAAAGAGGGCGCAGCCCTTGTCACAGTGGCCGGTCAAGCTCAGTGTGATTTTTCAAGGACCCTGTGGCCGAGACCCCTCGGAGAGGGACGTCGGCACAGAGTCCTGGTGCAGTTGCCATGTTTTTTTTTGGTCTTTTTGATTTTTATAAGAAGTTTAGAGTTTAGAATGACATACTATCTCTTTTACTCATTTAAAGATGAAATTCTTATTATTTATCATGCATTAAGAGAGAGCAGGAGGCTTGTTTCAGCATTGCATCGGTCACACAGCAACACAGAGGTAAGAGGGGAGCACAGCGTTCACCAGATTGGACACGAGAGATAGCAAATACCACCACCACAAAGGTGAGAACAGACCGCGTATAGTGAGCTGGCGGGACCGCGGGTAGAGGGGGCGGTGGGAACGCTGCTTAGATCTCCTCGTCGCTGGCCTCCTTGAAGGTGGTCATGTCGATCTTATCGGGGAAGATGATGTTGACAGCCAGGTCTTCCCCGCTGTTGTACTGCAGCAGCAGCTTCTTCTTCTTATTCAGCATGTGGTTGTAGCGCAGGTTGGACACCCAGGCCTCGCACTTGTTGAGGAAGATGATGCCCATGGTGCCCAGCACAACCAGGCTGGTCAGCACGCCCAGGATGGTGAAGCAGATGGCCTGGCCCTCGGAGAGGAGCGGGGTGCTCTTGTTGAGCTCCCTCATGGACACCTTGAGGACGCGGTGCTCAGGCTGCGCCACGGGCAGCTCGTGCACCCCGGGGGTCAGGCGGTAGGGCAGGCCGTGCCCGCTGGGCAGACGGGTGACCTGCTGGGAGCCGGCCGCGCGCTTCCTGCCGCAGATGGGGCCTGTGAACTCGGGCTTGCACAGACACTCGAACCTCACCTGGGAGTGCTGCAGGCAGGTGCCCCCGTTCAGGCACGGATCGGAGGCACAGTTGGTCACCGGGCGGCTGCAGGTCTTGTCCACGAAGCCGGTGGGGCAGCGGCAGCGGAAGTCACCCCCGATGTCGGTGCAGATGCCTTGGTTCTCGCACGGGTTGGGGGTGCAGCTGTTGGCCACGATCTCGCAGAAGTTGCCCGAGAAGCCAGGGGGGCACAGGCAGGAGGCATGGGAGGCCCGGCCATCGTCGTCCACGCAGGTGCCACCGTGCTGGCAGGGAGAACTGCAGCACACAAGGAGACAAGGTCACGGTCCCTCGGGGGCTGGGCCAGGACAGAGTCACCGTGGGCAGGAGGCAGCTGCTCAGAGCGATGCTGGCCGGGGGGCGGGGCCGGGAGGCACTGGGCACTGTGACCCCTGCCCACAAAGGTGCCCTGGCGGCCCAGGGCGGGCCACACACCTCGGCAGGGTGTGTGCCTCACCTCCATCGCACGGCCAACCGGAACACGCCTGCCGTCCTGTGCCAATGCCCACCTCCTCGCCCCTCTCTATGCTGTCCCTCCAACCAGAGGCCTGCCCATCAGTCACTGGACTGGGGGGGGGGGCGAGAAACCGAGGCTGAGAGGGGCCACGTCCGTGATGACACAGGGCCAGAGCCCCTCCTGGGCTTGGTCCCTGGGCCGCTGAGGCTGAGCTGCGCGGCCTCGCTGACGGCGTCCCCTGCTGCTGCGGCCGTGGCTGCTGCCTGTTATTATTTTTACTTTTATTTGCAGCAGCGCGAGCCCGCAGGTTATTGCGCAGAATCCCTTGGGGACTCACAGAGGGAAAGAAATACGCGCTCTGTCTCTGCCGGCCTGAGCGCGTCCGTGCGCCGGTTAATAGTAGCTCATTCACCCAAGAGCAGCTTGCAGACCCAAGCTGTTTGCTCAAAGCGGAGCACACGGAGCATTTAATGTAAGTGCTTTTAAACGAGCAGGCCCTTTGTCATCTGCTAAATGCCAAAACTCCAGGGAAGAAAGGGGCGGTGGGCGCAAGACACCAGCACCGCTGCCTCGGGACGGAGGCTGCGTGGGAGCGGGGCTCCAGCGGAATTTCAAGGACCCTGCGCTGTATTTTGACAGACTAGTTCAAGTCTGTTAGAGAGAAAAGCAAAACATTTGAAAGGCCTTGCTTTGTATTTTCCCTTCCCTCTAATGAGCAGACGTGGTGCTCGACGGCCCCCCTCCTCTGCGGACTGATCCTGCGATGCTCACAAACGCCCGTTCATGGCGCTGGCCGGCTCCGGGGTCTCCACGCCACCCTGCGATGCGATGCCAGGGCAGGAGCGGCCACTGGGGCATTCTCGTTCCTGTCCCCTCAGAGGAAAGGGCTCCCCCAGGCCCAGGGCTGGGCTCTGGGCTGAATTCTTGCTCCTGCCAAGGTCTCTCCTGGCCCCCGGATAGGCCACACTGGGCAGCTAAGCACGTAAGGGCCAGCCAGGCTCCAGAGCCCCTCCCCACTCCGGTAGCTGAGAGCCAGACCCCAAGCCCTGGCGCTAAAGGCTTGCCCCACCTCCCTGCTCCGCCCACGCTGGCCACAGCCCCCTCCCCACCCCAGCCTAGCGGCGCCCTCCAGAGACACCCCAGTACACCCACTCCCAGGGAAGCCTGGTCCCCAGTACCAGCCCCTAAGATAGGCTGAGCGTGTTTCACACAAACGGCCCCGGGCCCTGCCAAACTCCGGCTTTTTATGCTGCCTTTAGAAAATGATGCTGCTCTGAGCTCCAGTTCGTGGTCCCAATCTACTGTCATTCACACGCATCAGGACTTGGGGACAGCAGGGGAATATGAAATCGCCTTCAGGATCATTTTGTAGAAATATGGAAATGACACTTCCCCGGCCAGGAAGGCAGGCGGCCCCCCGGGGGGCTGCCGATGAGCACTCACAGAGGCTTTTGTCTGCCCACAGGTGGGCCCGGCTGGGCTGAAAGGGCTTTTAGGGGCGAGGCTGGAGCCCAAAGCAGCATTCAGCAAGATGGCATGTGACCGGGAAGGACATTTACCCATTGATCACGCACGGCCCGTCCTTCTTCTGACAGTCCTTTCCCGAGAACCCAGGGGCACAGGAGCACTCGTAGCTGCCGTTGACGCGGTCCACGCAGGTCCCGTTGTTGGCACAGGGGACGGAGGTGCAAGCCCGAGTGTCTGGGGGAGGGGAAAACATCAGACCTTGCCACCCCCTCTGCCAGGGAGGCAAGGGGGGGCCCAGAGGCCGCAAGGAGCGCTTCCCAGCTTGGAGGCAGAAGGACACCCCTCCAGCTGGTCAAGCGAGGGACCCCAAGTGGGCTGCCTAGGTGTCTCTGTGGCTACTGCCAATGGCCACCAAGCGGGGTCCTGAGTAAGAGGGTTCAGTGATGACCCCCCAAAACCCTGAAGAGCTCAGGGAGCTAAAGGGGCTTCCTTGTGTTCGGCCACGAGGAAAGAAAGTCACCGTGGCTCACTGTCCTTCAGCCTAGGACACCTGCACCCTTTTCCGGGGAACCAAGTCACCCCTTAGGTCCCTGATGCCTGCCTCCTCCAGCCAGGTCCGCACATCCAACTTCTTGTGTTTCTGGGGGGACTGCCACTTGGGGGGCTGCTGCAGCCCAACTGTGGGAGACCCGAGAGGCCCCAAGTGCGGGCCCATCGCGGGGCGGGGGGCGGTGACGGGGGGGATGGAGACGCAGTTCAGCCCCGCTCTGCCCCCGCCCCAGGCGACCTCTGCTCTCAGGTTCGGAACGCAGGGCCTGGCATAAAAAGGCCACCTCTCTTTTGAAGGCAGCAAGATTAGAACTCTCAGCCCTCACCCCCAGCGTGTTTCAATGAGCAGGGGTGGATTCCCGCCGCCTTGCGACACCTCCCCATCACACACACGTCATTCTCTCGGCTCAGCGAGCGGGGACGCGCTGAACAAAGGGGCCTGGGTCAGGCGCTCGGTGCCAGTGTAGCCCCCAGCCCCTGGCCAGCTGCGGGGGCCAGCCCTTCCCACGCGGTGCCTCACTGTCCCCACTTATACAAAGAGTGGCTCCCCTGGCTGGTCTCTGCGGGACCTGGCGGCTTTGATTTTTTTACCCAATAAAAAGCCAGGGCCGACCACAGACACAGCGAGTCCTGGCAGATGGCAGGGAGGGGTCCCCACAGGTACAGAGCTCCCCTCTGTTCCAGAGCCCCGCACCCTCGTGGCAGGGAGAGGGCCAGCGACCAGCACAGAGAGACCTCCGAGCCCATGGGGGGCTCCTGGGAGCCCAGCTGGGAGCGAGGAAACACGAAGAGGATCTGTCATTAGGGAGGGAAGCGCTAGCCACGCAGGAGCACCCACAGCCTCTGCGGCCAGCTCACAGGCCCCCGCGCCGGGCGCTGCTGTCACCTGGGAGTCTGAAAATTAGGCCGAAGGCTGGCAGCCACTCTACTCCTGTCCTCACAGTGTCAAGCCTAAGGCCCCTTTTGCTCGAGGAGGAGGCTGCCTGTGGGGGAGGGGGCCCTGCTGGGGCAGCAGCTGCAGCAGCGACCAGCGACAGGCCAGGAACAGTCGCAGAGACCGGCAAAAAAAAAAAAAAAGAAAGAAACAAGGGAGGGGCCCCGCAGTGACGCAGGGGACTATTTCCTCTGGACCCAGCGCCCTAAGCTAAGAGCCTTTGTCAGCCCGGTGAGGAAGGGACCTTGGTCTGGGAATCCCATGACACCAAGCTGGGGTGGGCTCCGGGTTGAATGTCCTGGGCCCAGATGGGGACGTCTCTGGGACCCTCTGGTTCCCAAGCAGTTAGAGCTACGGCGAGGCGGCCTTGCCGTGATGACCGCCGGCACGTGAGTCAGCTGCAGATGACGCCCTGCGCCACAGCGGGGGAGGGGCTCGGAGGCCCCAAGACTTTGCAGAGTCTGGCGGGGGGCGGGGGGGAGGCTCGATTTTGAAAGCTGGCTGCCCTGAGGTTTTCCTTAAAGGAGGGCATCAGAAAAAGCCCAGGGGAGAATTTAGCCTGAGCAAACCCTTTGGCTTCTCTGGGCCTCAGTTTCCCTATGAGTCTCTGCTAATGTCGGGGACCAAGGGACCGAGGCGCTTCGGCACTGCCTAGGCTGCTGGACATTTTTCGAGGACTTCAGGCTGCCCAGGCTTCCGGGCAGGTGTTGCCAAATGAGCACGGGCTCAGAGGCACATTTGCGGCCTGAAAACGCAGCGACAGCCAACTCTCAATGGCTCAGGGTAATGGAGGACAAAGACTCTGCATAAATGACCGGAATCCACAGATAACACCCAACCGCCCCTTGAACCACCTCTCCGCCTTCCCCGGCACCTGCCCCCCACACCTCAGCCCTTCTGCCACAGCCCCCAGCCCTGTCCTAGCGGCTGTGACGCAGCTCCTGCTGCCTGCCACTTAGCGCGGACCCCCTCCCCGTGCCTCCTCTGCGACTTGTTTGCTGGCTTTCTGCAGCCTCCTTAGGACAGTCTGACTGTGAATTTGCTGGAGGCTTAGTTCTGCAAGACCCCCTTCCCCCCTCCCACCCAGTCCTCGCCACTCCCTGAGTTTCAGTGACCTGGGCAGGTTCCCCAGTCTGTGGTCCCCACCCGCCTGGCTTTGTGTGGTATGTGTTGACTTTGTGACTCTTTATTACACAGGCAGCTCCCTGCCACCCCCCCACCCCCGCCCAGGGCCTCCTCTGGGTGCTGGGTGCAGAGGGCAGCAAAACTCCGACCCCTGCCTGTGAGGAGGCTCCTGCCCCCATATCGCAAGTGTTTAAACAGATCATTACCATGCAGAGCGCCTGGTGGGCTGGAATAAGGGGGGAGGGGCAGCCATCAGGCTGGGAGAAGGCGCTGGGGCAGAGGGCGGTGAGGGGCGGGGGCGTGCAGGGGCAGGGCGTGTGCCCACCTATGTCGCAGAGGGTCCCTTCCCAGCCGTCGTTGCAAACGCACTGCCAGGGTTCCTCGCAGAGTCCATTAACACAGCCAGGAGAGGTCACGCACTGGTCACACAGGGGACCCTGCCAGCCAGGCTGGCACCTGTAGTGGGGAGGGGGATACGTCTGAGGGCGGGCAGGGGTGAGGACGGGACTCAGGCTGCTTTCTGTGGGACCAGGGCCCTCGGGGTCTGCATAGCGCCAGGCCAGCGGGACCCCGACACGGAGGCCGTCTGGGGGCAGACGGGGGTGCTGCCTGCGGGCCGGGGCAGCGCCGCGTTTTGCCGCAGTGGTCTGCAATGGTCTCGTCCTGTGGGCAGGGGCGGGGGGGGGGGCGCCGCCCTGCCAGCGTCATCCAAGAAAGCAGACAGAAGCTGTGGCTCTCCCCTGCCCCCACCCTCTGCCCTCGCTCCCCCCCCCCCCGCAGTCTCCTGAGGGGGAGGGGGCAATAGGAAGCTGTCTGTTGCAGCCCAGTAGCTGAGCCCTTCCCCCGCTTTTTCCTGCCTGACACCTGACCCTTCCGGATTCTGCCCTGGCCCACCGGAGATGCCTCTGGGGAGCCACCTATTACCTGCAAACATTGTCGTCCTCGCAGAGTCCATGCTGAGGGTGGCAGGCCGGGAGGCACTCAGCTCCTGAGACACAAGAAAGGTCACCCCACTCACCCCACGAGGCCCCGAGGCCACGGCGGAGCCCCCAGCCTCCCTGCGGGGAGCGCGAACCCTCGTGGTCCTGCTCGCCTGGCACACAGCAGGCCCTTCACGTCCCCCCACTCAGGACAAACTCTCTGCCACGGTCCTGGTCGTGGGGTGACCACAGAACACTGCCTTGTTCTCAGGAGCAGGCCAGGCATGTCATTCCCCCCAAACAAAGTGCGTAGGCAACCTCAGGTCCCCAAACTGGGGACGAGGAGACAGTGGGTGGACAGGTTTTGACCTCAGGGCACTCAGCCAGACCCTCACTTGGGCTAAGTGAGCTAAAAAGGGGAGTAGATGTGGGGGTAGCCATGGCCGGGAAGCCCAGACAGGCTCACCTGGCAGCTCACAGGTAAGGCGTCTGGATGTTTTGGGAGGTTCCTCCCAGGCCAGCCGCGCACCCAGGTCGGATCCCCCAATCCCCCCGCCCCACACTCTTCACACAGAAAAAGCAACTGCGCACGGGGTCTGCAGAGGGGACTGCAATTCTGACCCTGTTTAAAGATTTAAAGATTCTGACACTTCCACAGTCACCTACTGTGTGCCTTTACTTCACCCTGCTCTCCCGCTCTCCAGACGCCCCCTCCCCCATAACGGCTGGTGCAGTAGGGGGGGCACTGCGGGAGGGGCGACTCTCTCTCGCTGTCAGAGACAGATGGCCGCTGCAGACAGAAGTGTCGCAGCCCCTCACCTAGAGAAACGCCACGCAGGAGGGACTCGGGCTGGGCTCCTGGTGGGGAATCTGAGGCTACGACGGCCAAGTCGCCCCGCGCTGCCCCCCCGCACACCTGCACCCCGACACGCACACGAGGACCCCCAAAGTTGCCCCCCGGAGCCTTCTCACAGAGGGCTCCCGGCATCACCTCGTTTCTCCATACCTCCTGTCTCAGCGCGCCGACACCCCTGCGAGCGCCACTTCCGCGGGGCGGGAAGGCCTTGAGGGGTCCCACACACCTCCTCCCCCCCGGGACCCCCGGGGCATGCAGGGGCAGGAGAGAGGGCGCGGCAGGCACAGAGCGGGGCTTAGGGTTAGGCGGGACGGGCGGGAGTTGGGGCGCACGGGACGGGGCGCGCAGGGCACCGGGCGGCCGGGGGGGCGTCGCAGGCTTCCCCAGAGGGGGCGCGAGCCGGGCCGCCGGGGGGCTCACCATGGGAACTGTGGCCGAAGGCCAGCAGGAGCAAGAGGACGGGCAGGAGGGCTGCGGTCGCGGTCATCGCGGGGCGGCCGAGGTCGCGGTCCCGGAATTGGCGCGGGCGCGGGTCCGGCTCCGGGCGCCGCGCTGGGCTTCTGGTTGCGGACGCGGAAGGGGGCGCGGGTGCGCAGCGAGGGGAAAGCCAGGGCTGCACCGGGCTGCGCGCTGCGCTCTCCAATGCCGCCGCGGCGGAGCTGCTGCCGCCGCCGCGCGCGCCGCCCTTTTCGTACCGTCGCCCCCCCCCCGCGGCCCCCGCCCCCCGCCCCCGCCTCCGCGCGCACGGGGCCGGCGCCGGCCAGTCCCGGTGACCCCCGCCCCTCACAGGGCCGCCCCCCACCACTGCGGCGTCCGGAAACCGGCTCGCGCACGCGGCGCACTCTTGGCTAGACGGGCACAGGTACCCCGCGCGCGTTGAGCACACGTTCCCAACACAGGACGGACACGGGCGCGCACAGCCGGGCCCGCTTAGCATAAGTCTTAGGAACTGAAGAGGGGTCGGGCCGCAGACCCCAGGAGGGCGCAAGGACACGTTAGGGCTATAGAAACACGTATAGAAACAGCAACACTTATCGCTCAGGTCCCAAGCACACATGCTAGGGTTCGCACATTCAGAAAAACACGCCCGCACACTCCAACGACGTAGACTACTCACGTAATCACACATGCACCCAGAAAATCACTCATGAAAAGCCTTATGCGCCGAAGCCCCTAACCGTAACAACCCAGGGAGACGCAGACAACACTTGTGGCCACACACACACTGCAACCCGGACACAGCCTGCATGAGAAACACGCGCCGCGACACAAGCATGCGTCACGGAAAGAGTCAGGGGTGCCACCCCCCCAGCCACGGGCATGCAGTAGCCAGCGCACATACAGTTATGAAACCCTGGGCACCTTCCAGCAAGGGCCCGGCCATCCACACAGAGGCACGTGCAGGGCCATGTGTGCACCTGAACATGCGAGCACCCCTGTAAACATGCAGACTCCCCAGCACACGTTCGGTCACACACACACACCCCCACGCCTGTGTCAGCACACAGGGCCTCAGGCGCACGGAAGCATCAGCCATGGCTTTCACGCATTTGCACAGCCCCACACCCAACATTCACAAGCATACACACCCGGTCCCCAGAGTGGACAAACCACGGGCTCTTGGTTACACACTCCTCTAAACACATGCAGTCACCCAACGCACACACGACCTCGCTGATCTTTGCCCACAGTGGCATGTGTGGGCAAGCTCACAAGGGTGCCCATCTCCCACGCACAGACGCCCACAGGGCACCCAGCACCGACTCCAGGTCCCCGGGGGGCCTCCAGGCAGGGCTGTGGGGGCATGGGTGCGGGACCCAAACCCGGCCACAGCCCCTCGCTCTCCTAAGAGGCCCCCCCGGAGACAGCTCCCCGCCTGGGCCTTAGGGTCCTGCACTCTGCTGGCAGCTGCCCACACCCTTGTCGGGGTAAGGAAGGTTCAGGAACAGTGAAGGCACTTCTGGGCAGCTGTGTGTGTGTGTATATGTATGGGCGGGGGGGAGGTGATTAAAGGTGTTCGGCTCCCTGAGGACAAGTGCCAGGGGGTTAGGACCTGCAGAGGGTCCTTTGTGCGCTGCATTTGCATAGGTTAGTTTGCAAGTGGAGGCCAAGTGTGGGGGTGGGTGCTCACTGATTTCACAGCCTCCCGAAGGCAGGGCCCCTTCCCCCGCGCCAGTGCTGGTGGGGGCGGTGGGGGGCCGGGTGGCGATCCCCACAGCGTGGAACCTGGGTGGGGGCGTGGGCTGCCAGCCCTCTCACGGGGCGCTGGAAGGTGCGGGGACACACTTGGACCGGGACGCAGGTGTGAGGAGTGAGGCTGGGGAGCCCCCCAGGCGCCAGCCCGAGAGCCCTAAGTCCGGACTGGGGTGAAGGCTATTTCTTAGCCGGCGCCCCAGAGGGTGGAGGGAAGCCCCCCCACCTTGGGGAAGGCGCCCCTTCCCTGGTGTTCTCTGCTGAAGACCCAGAACTGGGTGCCCATTTGGTTATTCCCCTCTCACATGGACACTTCTCTGGTGAAGAAACCGAGTCCAGAAGTGGAAGGCGGCCTTTGGCCCAAGGCCCCGGGTGCAAGGAGAGTGGCCGGCAGGCCCAGGCCCGAGGGTCCGGCTGCGGCCGATCCCGCTCACCCTCCCACCTCCTTCCCTCCACGGACCCTGACCTCAGCCCCCAGGGCCATCCCACACAGCGCAGGGGGCAGGGCAGGGAGGCGGGGTTCCCAGCTAGAGGCCAAGGGGGCAGCGGATCTCAGGGCTGGGCAGCTTGGGGTGAGCGCCCCGCTTTGGACCACACCTCAAGGTGGGGTGCAAACTGCATGGGGCACCAAGAGGACCCCCCTTCCCGGAAGCCCTCACTGCGCCCCCATCTGGCCTCCTCCCTTCTTATCACCGCCCGCCCCAGCTTGGACAAAGGAAGGAGGCCTGGGCAGGGCAGTCTCACCCGAGGGCGTCCCTGTCCAAATGTCACAGGCCTGGCTGGAAGGGGCACGTCCTTGGCCGGCCGGCACCTGCCAGGGAGCCACAGCTCCAATCCCTGCCTGCTGAGGGCCATGGGCCAGTCACTTCCCCTCGGGGCCCAGGTTCCAGGTCTACAAACAGGGACGCCACACCTGTCTCCAAAGGGAACTCAGGTTTTCCTAAGCAGAAAGCCACCGCACTGGCAAGGCCTGGCCCCTTCCTGCCCTTCCTCCAACAGCTGCCACTCGCCTCCGCCCAGGCGGCCAGAGGGAGCTGAGCGGAGGCGGGGTGGGGAGGGGGCAGGGGCTTTCCGATGCGGCCTCTCCCAGAGCCCCCTGCAGGGCTGCGGGAGGAAGGGGCCGCCCGCCCCGCAGGACCCAGGGGCCTGGAGCTTTCTGTTGGTTTGCTCTAGTGTCAATAAAGCATTTGTAAATCCAGGCGGCCAGCGGTTTCTTTTCAGCAAGCAGACAAGAGAAAGGGTCGCTCGGCAGCGGTGGGGAGGAGAGACTGGTGACTGTCACAGGCTTCGAGGCTGCACAGAAAGCAGGAAAATGCCAGTCGGGTCCCTCGGGGCGAAGCCCGCATGGCTGCTGTTTGCAAGCAGACCCTGGGGGCTGGGGAGTGCAGGGCTGGAGGCGCCAGGACAGACGGGTGCTCCTGTGCCTGCCCCCTCCCCCTCCCCTCTACCTCTCCCCCGCGGCCCCTCTTTCCATTCTTCCAGGTACAAACCTCTGGGGTCCCATCCCCACCCCCCTCGCAGCGGCATTGCTGTGGTCTGCACAGGTGTCGGGGACTAACCTTGCCAACTCTGGGGCGGGAGCGAGCGAGGCTGGGCCTCGGTGGGGCGCCTTCCCTCTGCCAGACCAAATGGCTCTGCCTGAGGCCCCAGCCTCGCCAGCCCTGGGGAAGTGTCCCCTGTTCCTTGGGCCCAGAGGCCAGCGCCAAGGGAGCAGGAGGGTGATGGAAATTTTCTGAAAGAGCCAGAGAAATGTTATCTCCAGAAATATTATCTCCAGCCCTTTCCCTCCTCCCCCTCCTCTCTGTTCTCCAAACATGCCCCCCCCCCCCCGCCCCAGCCTACAGCAGACCACCTCGCCCTTTGCTGGAGACAGAGCACTGACCAGGAAGCCCGGCAGGGCCTGGCTGGAGCGGCCTCCCAGCCCAGCTATAGCTGGGGGTGCCCTGTGGGGCAAGGCAGCGGGGGCTCACCCCTGCCCTGACTTCCTGCTGCGCTCCCCGGCCCAGCCGAGAATCTCCAAGCCTGGGCTTGGTCTTGGAGTCATCTGTGCCCCCACGGGTCCTGTCCTAGTGGGACTGACGCCATCGGGGAAACCAAGGCCCAGTGAGGGCTCACGGGAGCTTTCGTTCCCTCTTCCATCTCCCTCCTCCGAGACGCCCTGCGTTCTGCAGCCTCCCTCCAAGGGAGGCCGCCGTTGAGGTCCCCGCGGCCCCTTCCTGCCTGAGCTGCACTCTTCCCAAAGGGAGTGCTCGCTTTGCTGGGCGGAATGGCCTGGAGTCAGGAACGGAGCTATCCTGGGGACAGCAGGCAGGGGACTTTCCATGCGGAGTCGGGGTTAGGGGTTCACACATAGGCAGGGCCACCCTTTCTCTGCCCCTTTGGCGTTCAAGTCCAGCTTGCCCCACAGTAGAGGCCAACTCCTCAGGGTCTCCCGGAGATGCGAGGCTCCGTTCAGAGATGAACTGAGATGCACGTGCATCTCGAGGAGCCTGGCCAGCTGGGCGGCTGACGAGCAGCAGACCTAGGAATCGAACCCAGCGCCCTGGGAGCCCAGGCACCAAGCTCCATGCTCAGCCAACCGGAGCTTCAGAGCCCGCTGGCAGACAGGCTAGCGGGGAGGCCCAAAGGGAGCCTGGGCCCTGCCCCGCCGGCGCTGGGTGAGGGGCAACCCAGCCACCTTGAGGGCCGGGAGGGTTCCCACAAACACCTAAAGCGTGCACAGGGGCCGCGACCCTGCTCCTTTTCCCAAGCTGAAGTTCATCTTTGGAGAGAGAAATTTACCTTCTCTTCCTGCAGAGGGGGAGGGGTCTGAAGGCGGAGGAGGGAGGGATATTGGAGGCACACCCAGGTACGCTTAAGAATGAGAACGGGAAGGTTCGGTTTCAAGTTAAGAGAGAAGCCTCTTCAGTCTGAAGTGGAGTGGCGCTCCGGGCGGGGGAGCCGGCAGAGAGCGTGGCCGCGGAGGCGCACGCGCGGCTCCTGGCCTCGTGCGTGGGGCCTGGAGAGGCGCGTGACCGCCCAGGCCTGCTGCGTCCCCGAGCCCCCCAGCCCCCAGCGCCGGTCTGGCTGTGGCGTGGGGGAGAAAGAGCAGCCCCTCCCGGCCCAGGCACAGGTTCCGGGGAGGGAAAGGACGAGGGGCGGGTGGAGAGCGGCGGGGGCGCTTTGGTTGGGACCATATTTAGTGTTGACTTCAGCAGGGTCGCACCTCTCCCCCGAACAGAACCAATTTCTCATCATCGACGATGGGATTCAAAAATAGATTCTCTCGCCTCGCTATTGGAATCGACGTGGATG